TTACACGTTGGTCGACATTTGCATTTTTCAGACAATATATATCTAAACCGATTTGTTCATTGATTAATCCAAACTAAAGTATACTCAGATTTAAACAATATTTATTCAGATAAGTTTGATAGTTAAGGATACACACATTGTCATAAGTAAGGATTCAACATAACTGATTAAAAATTACAGTAAAACAGAAAAGGTTGAATGTAAATCAGTTTATATATACTATTCAAAAAAAGTAGGGGATATTTGATTTTGGGGGCATAATACTAAAATATGCAAATGACTACGAAAAAAGTCACTATAGAACCTAACAGAAGAAACATTTCCAGTTACATGTGACGCCCAAACGCACCAATAGCTACCGCATGGAATGCAGGTGATGCTTGGGATCATCATGGGGGTCCAACCCAAGATTTGCACGACTCTGACTTTGAATGTTCAAAAACAAGCCAAAGACAAAGGCTTATATTAATTCCATATAAGAGTAGGCCGTAGTGCCGCTGCCCGGGAAAATTCTACCTCATAGCACACTGTATTGCGTATGCCCGTCGACATTAGCCCAGTCGGAGCAGAACAGTAGGACGTTAAATCCCATTTCATTCCATTCTAAAGGTAAGGGTTCAAAAACAGGCCAAAGGTTTATATTAATTCGTCTCCTATTAATAAATATACTACAAAAATACAATTACAATATGTACGCTTCATACACAAAATACATTTACCGCTACGATATCATATTTTTCCTATTTGCTATTTATTATGTAACACAGGGGAATCACGTGGCTAAGTGGGTAAGACGCTGGCTCGCTAGTCTGGAGGACGGGTGTTCGAAACCAGCATTGACCGAGAAAGTTCATTCAGATAATTTCCCGGCGTGGTTGCCCCTTGTCAGTGATGCAGGATGGAGGGCCCGGAATTTGATATAAGAGTAGGCCGTAGCGCCGCTGTCCGGGCAAAATTTCCCTCATAGCACACTGTATGGCGTATGCCCGTCTTCATTAGCCCAGGTTAGGAGCAGAACAGTAGGACGTTAAACCTCATTCCATTTAATATCAAATATTAAATGGAGTCAATCAAAAGATTTTAGGGGAATCGGGGCTTGTTATCTCATTTATACCCCCCCCCCCCCTCCGCCGGGCCCTTTGCATACTGTAACTGCTTTGTTCAGTGTGCCTGTGCTCTGTGCTCTATGATTAAAGAAATTTTATCTAAATAACTATTTATTAAATCAACTTATATGTAAACTTTCTATGTTTGTTTCCCCTTCAACTCTCCAGGGGAGTCACGGTGGCTAGGTGGTTAAGACGCTGGCTCGCTAGCCTGGAAGGTCGGGTGTTCGATCCCTGCATTGGCCGATAAAGTTCATCCTGAATTTCCGGCGTAGTTTCCCCTTGTCAGTGGTGCAGTACGGAGGGCCTGACAAGGACAGCTGTCTAGTCCTTCGGATGAGACGAAAAACCGAGGTCCCGTGTATACATTGGAATGCACGTAAAAGATCCCTTGGCAGTTGGAATTCGATATAAGAGTAGGCTGTAGCGCCGCTGCCCGATCAAAATTTCCCCCATAGCACACTGTATGGCGTATGCCCGTCTTCATTAGCCCAGTATAGGAGCAGAACAATAGGACGTTAAACCCCATTTCATTTCATTTCAACTCTCCATTTCATCCTAATTCTAACCTCTCTGTTTCATATATGATTAGGTTTACACGGGTGTAAGTGAAGTGAACGTCGGTGATCTGCTATATCGGCCTCCAAGGCGGCTAGTCCAGAAATATTAAAAGGCTCCCCATTAGAATATTTCTGGTATGTATTTAGATGATAAGCCGCCCCCCAAGTCGTGTCGCCCCCGTACATATGCCCCCCCCCCCCCCACTGTGTGTCGCCCTGGCATTGGTCATATTCATATTTTCGTCTTAGTGTGACCACTGTTCGGTATATGTTACAGATAACATAGTTTCATTGTATGTAAGTGGGAGGAAATCGGGGGACGAGGATGGACATGCGACCCTACTCCTTGTCACGTACGACCGGGGAATCGACAGACCTTATGATACAACGCGCACGCGCTAAACATTCAGCCATCCAACACCCTTAACCCTATAGACTTCCATTATTGCAAGAATAGAATCCACTATCAGTCTGTGAGTAGGGCGCTGGAATTCCTCGGAAATTTCCTGCTTGGTTCTATACTGTGAGACAGTCTGACAAGGACATAGCCTGGTTGTTCAGGTGGTATCAAAAAACGGAGACCAAAACAATTAGTAAATTATCTTCTTATTAACGAAACAAACAGACCCGGGCCATCATCGCCTTCTCAATGATGCCATTGTCCTTCTTAACGCATGGACGGGTTTTTATATCTTGCGTGTGCGCTATTTCTCGGGGTTCAAGCCATTGTTATATTGCATGTCAGGAACATTCATAATATAAAACTAATCAACTATCTAAAATGGAAACCATAGAAATTTACATTTTTCTTTTTTTTTCTTTTTTTTTTTTCAATTTGTGTTTCCGAGTTAATAATATCATAAAGCAGACTAGTGCCAATGCAACTCTGGGGGTATCCTAGTACATTTTCATTGGTTGTTTATAACATACGGGGGGGGGGGGCGGATGGTTGGCACGCGCGCGCTGTGTCATACGAACTGTCATTGACTCAACTGGCGGGGTTTCGATTCCCCGGTGACAAGGAGTAGGGTCGCCTGTCCAACCTCGTGGGTTTTCTTCGGGTCCTCCGGTTTCCTCCTACTGCTAAAGGCCCCTCCCTACGCGCAAGCAAATTATTGAAATAAAATGAACCGTGTGTTAGTCCCGAAATGACCTAGTTTGTGTCGAGTGGATGTTAAACCCCATCTCTCTCCCCCTCTCTCTCTCTCTCTCTCTCTCTCTCTTATACTACATACAACCAGGGGCTAAGTGAGAGGGACGTAATGACGCGCTCTACGTCATGGTTTTAAGTTTTTCCGCTCCTCGCATGAGGGTCGAGTTGAGAATTGTTCAGTGACACGTGCGCTGGTAAACGTAGTCGCAGAACAGCTGAAAAGGGTATGCTTGAAATTCATAGGCAATTATATGTGCACACAAAGAATAAAACTAGGTAGGGTCTTTTAAACTGCTGGTTATCCTAAATAATTACCCAGCATAGTCAAATAATACACCGCGCAGTTTCTTAAATGGGCATTTTGGGAGATTAGATAAAGAGTTGGCAGTTCTCGCTATAGTTAAAAAATAGATAACGTAAAAAGAATATGCTGAAAATTTCAGTCAAATTCCTCCACTCTGAACCGAGATATTAGCTTTTGAATTTTAAGCTAGCCTCGATCATCATTACTTAAGTCGGTACAATTAAAAACAAAGTCTCGATTATCCAGTTTTACGTTTAATTAATTGTAAAAGAAATGTATTCCAATCGCAGGCTAGCCATGACATCGAGAGATGATTGTGTGTTGGATAAGGCACGAGACTTCGGTTATGCTGGAGAAAGAAAGACTGAAGAAAATAACCCGAGGAAAAGAAATGTTTAGAAAAAAAGGAGGTCCCGTGCATTTAAAATAAATCCTTGACAGAATTTGGAATAAGGGTGTAGGGCGTAGCGTCACTGAGTGGTCCACCTTGTCACAGTAACGCAGGGTGGGAGTCTGGCAAGTACAGTGCCTAGTTCAAATAGGCCAAATGCCGAGAGCTCGTGTTCACGTTGAGGTGTACGTAAACGAAGCATTGGCAGTTGGAATTCAGTTGCTGTCTGGGCAAAATCTCCCTCGTAGGACACTGTATGGATTATGTCGATCCTTATTATCGCTGTTGGTATCGAAGAGTAGGACGTTAAACCCCATTTCATTACATTTTATTTATTTTGTATTGTCCCCTAGTAGGGTCGCCTGTCCAACTTCGTGGGTTTTATCCGGGTCCTCCGGTTTCCTCCCACTGTTAAAGACCCCTACGATCAAGCGAATTAATGAAATAAAATTGAACCGTATGTTAGTCCCGAAATGACCTAGTTTGTGCCGAGTGGACGTTAAACCCCATTACATTTCATTTCTTTTGTATTGTCCCCATTAAAATACCCATGCATTTTACCATGCCGTTGTCTAATTAATGAAGCATTATTATTATTAACTGACAAAACTAACAAATTGTCCCCCAATTAATGACGTAGCCTCGGACTAATTAAACAAAAGCCAATTAACAACGTTTGTTTAATTAGAGAAAGCAAACAGAAGGTATCCGCGGTGTGTTACCTGCAAGTGTCACTCACAGTTTTCTCAAAGGGCGTATTAATTAATAAAAGTGTGCGGTTTGTCTTCGGGGTGTCTGTTTGCCGGTTCTGACGACTGTTAAACAATAAATCAACCAAAACCTGTTGAATTGATGATCGTGAAGTATACAAACGGACTTCATTATAATTATCTATTTTGTGTGTGTGCGTGAACTACCTGGGTCAAGTAATGAAGTTAAATTCCAAAGTGAACAAACGGACGTAATTAATCATTTTTCTGTGTGCGCTACCTGGACCAGGTAATATTATTAAACCCCAAGTCAAATCGGTTTATTGACACTGAGCCTATATTAAGAAGAAGACAACCGATAAACGTGTTTGCTTTATCGGTAGAATCACAGTGCTGGAACGATCGTAAAAAATCTATAAAAGCCGCTAGCAACAAACAATTACACGACCGCTACGGTAAGCTATCAGAAATCCATAACTTATAAACGGTTGCCGTATGGTGGAATCGCTTTTCATGATCATATACCTGTTTTGATGGCTATATCGATTTTGTGACGTAGTTGATTTTTCCTACCCAGAAATTGAGCGGGGTCCGTGGAAAGAGAGAGAGAGAGAAAGCGCGCCAGAGAAAACGACAGGGGTCTTAGAACAGAAGATATCCATAGAACCAACGACGAAGTTTTCTTGATTTTAACAGACCCTCTAACATCGTCTTTATGAAATGGCTACACGCCATAATAGACTGCATGGAATTACCTATATATACGTCTACCTGGGATGTCTAGTTATTTTGAATTTATACCCAGGTGAGTTGCCTTTTTTCTAGAAAATTAATAGAGCAAAAATAATCTATCAAATTATTTATATAGAACAGAGGGTATTTTATATTAGATGGCGTTGAATTGTCAGGAGAATTAATCTTTTGATGTGACATAAAATGGCGATATCATTTATAGACAGCGTTTGTTTTTTGTATATTTACAAACTATTACCAAAATCCCTCTTAGTGTTTAAAAATTTTTAAAAAAAAATTATCTCGAACAAACAAATTGATTCCTGTATCCCATAGACACGTCCAACATGCGTGAAGTTTTGTTGTTTTGTGTATTTTCAATTTAAACAATTCCAAAAACTGAGAGTTTCTCGTTAATCAATGTATTGCCCCCCCCCCCCCCCCCGACCCGACCCGACCCGGCCCGACCCATTAAATTTATGTAGGCGAAAAATATCTTTACGTTTAATTGATATTTTGTCTTTTGAAATTCGGTCGGTCGATATTCTTGCTACCAAATCTTATGGTCGACAACCAATTCCGTTAGTAACAACACGTCGCCGCCGTATTAAAGAGGTTCTGCAACCAGTACGAACTACGAACACGGCTTCGTACTTCGTTTTTGGCAGATTTCCGTTTCCGCTAAAATGCGAAGTCCGAAGTACGATGTTTAGTAGGACTGTCGAAAAAAGAAATTTCACAGCCCGAAAATTTGCCCAAAATCAGAACAATTGCTGACCACTTTGACGCTGATCAGCCTTCTGCTGAATTTTAAATATTCAAGTTTTCTATAAAATCCGGAAAAATAGGAATTTCATCTACAAATCAACGAGAAAATTATGATTTCCTACCTCGTTCTTTGACCACGAACTTTTCCCGATTTCTTCGTAGCAAATGGACGTAAACTTCGGAACCTCACTATTAGCGCTCTGGGTTCTTGGTCGATATTATGGACCAGGAACCGAACGGGACGTCATCGCCGTCATCTTGGAATTAAGACACGTCATATCAACCGATGCGCAATTGGACAAGGGTCAGGCATACCAATAAACGGAACCTTAGACATTTTTCGATGGCCATCGCTCCCAAAAAGACAAATAACAAGACCAGTAGCGTTTTGGGACAAGTATCTGGTACAAAAAATATAAAAATGAATTCGAATTCTAAGTGTCGAGTGTTCTTTCACGTACACGGGACCGAATTTTTGCGTCCCATCCGAACTACTAGAAACTATATCTGCATCAGCGACAAGGGCAAACACGATGACAAATCTTGAGGTACTTTCGCGGTTAACACCGGGATCGAACGTCGGGCCACCAGGTTAGCGAGTTAGCGTTTGACTCAGTGAGCTGCCGTGTCGGATTTATTTATAGGCTTGGTAGGAGGAACCCCAGGGTCGCTGGGTCTAGGGGCATTGCGACCAAGGTGTATAATCCGTCATTATCCTCGGTTTTGAGTAATTGTTTCATCTTCCTCTAGTCGTGAGGGTGAGGAATTGGGGGGGGGGGGGGCATCATAGGTGGAATATCCTAGGGCATCTCATTATCTAAATCCGGCACTGCGCGCAACCATACTCTCGGTTTTCACATAGGTCATCCATGACTTCGTTCGTTCAACAAAAACAAACTCCTTATGTAACTTTGAATTTCTCAGTTTGCAGTAATCGAGCCATTTGACATTAAATCAAAGCGGAAAATAATTCTCGTGTTCCTTCATAAAATATTTACTTTCGTGATGCAGATATTATTGTCTCCTCAAGATTGTCTTCTTCGATTCTGAATTGAATATAAGATATCGGAATTAAAGTGGCGTGCAGAGATTTGGTGGTGTCCGCGGGCAACTCATTGATTGAATAACCCCGAAACGGTTAGGTCTATTTGATAAGGCCCACTTCAAGTTTGGTCAAAGGTCACGAGATGTAAACTGGGCTTATATAGCGCTAATCCCAACCCTAACCCTAACCCTGGACCTAGCCCTAATGCTTACCCTTACCCTAACCTACAATCCAGCTAACAAGCATATGCCCTAACCTTATTTACATCTCAGCAACCTTTGTAACACTATTTGAGTATAACCGAGATCAGTTTAGTAAATACAGCATTTATTTACAACGGGAACATATAACAGCTACAGTTACATACATACAACAACAATACGGGAACTTAAACTATAAGGAACTAGTCTACGACATGAAAATATTTGACTTCAGTTATATACCTTCGGATCATAGATAAGCTCATGGTCATACATGCAATTGTCTCTTTTATCTTTTCATGGCATGCTTATTGACCAGTACGTATATAATTTGAAGTAATGCGGAGCTTGTACACAGAGCACGTGTAGCTGGTAAAGGACATATTGAATTAATTACATGTTAAATTACAACACAGACAATCGTGACTTAAGAACAGTGCATACAGAGTTAAAAAGGTCAATATTATATATATTATCAAGAAGCATGGCTAAGTTCTAAGCACCTAAATGACCGTTCAATTTGAGGAAAGTTAAAGAGTACTTTATTACACCTTATCGAAATTTGTGTTGGTCTTAAAAAATAGATCTAGCCCCCAAAACTTAAGTACAGGGCCTAGTACTGAAATAGGAGCTGAAATGGGGTTTAACGTCCTACACTTCTGCACCGACTGGGCTAATGATCGAAGACAGACATACGCCATACAGTGTGCTATATGAAGGGAAATTTTGCCGGACAGTGAAGCTACGGCCTACTCTTATATCGGATTGAAAACTTTCAAGGGTTTATTTATCGGATTTCGAGTATATCCGATCCGACCAGACCGTCCGTTATGCACCCCTGACAAGGAGAAACCACGCCTGAAAATCCCGAGGAACTTTCCGGGCCAATTCCGGGAGCGAGCCGCAAACCCCCTGGCTAGCGAGCTAGCATCTTTTCCAACTTAGCCAAGGCGACCTCTACTGAAATATGCCGATATCCAAGAAGATTTTTAGATTATAACTATTATTTTAATATCTATAAAATGCATCCATAGGACACAAGGAATATGCCATACTACTGAAAATAGATGATGTAAAAACGTGCAAAAATATATATTTATATATTTGTTTCTTCCATGTTTAAAGAAATAGAATCAATTTATTTGGCTTGGTCCACCCAGCTTTCTTTCTTTTTTACATCTGTGTCGGAAATATTAGTTGTTTTCATCCACCGAAAAGAAATCTTAATACGTTACTGTTTTACTGTAAATACTGGTGGAAATTATATAAACATGAAATCCGGGGTTTAATGTCCTACTGTTCTGCTCCTATACCATGTCGGAAAATCTGGATGAACTTTCTCTGCCAATACAGGGATCGAACACTAGCGAGCCAGCGTCTTACCCACTTAGTTAGCGAGCTCCCCGATTTAGATTATAAGGCCTGTGACTGGGTCAGGTCGCGAGGTTTCGATCCCAACTTTGTAAGTGAAAAGGAGTAAGGTCGTCTGCCCAAAACGTAGTAATATAAGGTTTCTTTGGGGAACTCCGCTTTTCTCCCACAGCAAAAGACCCTTACGCGCAAGCGAATTATCGAAATTAAAATTGAACCATATGTTAGTCCCGATATTACCTAGTTTGTGTCGAGTGGCATGACGCAAAGTGCCCCCCTCTATTTAGCCTAACAATAGTGCTAGGGATGGGTGGTGCTGTCACATAGACTAGCCTCGGACATCAAGTAAAATCCGCGATCACCCAACGGAGAAAATATGCAGCAAAAATATGTTACAAGATTCAGTTACGAAAAGATGGATTTATGAGTTATGGTGACATTTTTCAATTCAAAACAAAATTAAAGGTACATTGATTCGTGCATCATTGATAACTTCCAGAATCATAATGACAATCAATTCTGGCCAACAGACTGATTAACAATATATGATACAAGAACAAAAAACAGGATATTATCCAACTGTACAACAATATTATGTTACGGGGTTGGTTACGAAAATATGAATTGGAACTCAATCACCACTTTTTTATTCAAAATGAAATTGATGGTACATTGACTCATTCTGAAAATCAACATATAATGTTCTGCTCGTCAGACTGATAACTAATATATAATTAATAAGAATGGAAACAAAAGCCAGTATAACAATGGGATATTATGTAAAATCATATAACATGTGAAATTGATACAGACACTGATTCTTTTTGTGTTACTTTGTCGGACCGTATTCTTGCTGAGAACAAAACGCTCTCCTGCTGAGACAAAAATGCTCTCCTGCTGAGAGCAAACCCGTACTCCTGCTTTGGGCAAACCGCACTCTATGTTAGAACAAACTGCACTCGGCGTAGACTGGAATAACCAGACGCTATAGATTGTCATTCGATTGAAACTTCTGGCGTATAACTGATTTGAAATTATAGTAAAAACGGAAACGATTGAATGTAAATCAGTTTATAAACATTTATATTACTTTATTATATGCGTTGCGACCCATTTGTGTCAATTTCTACGTCCCAAATATTAGCGATTTGGCTCCTTTAAACTGGGCTATCTGCGACTAGCGAAATCCGTGAAAAATATGGAAAAACCGGGAACATATGGGTGAATCTCAATCTTACCTTTGGACAGGGAGTTCTTAAAGAGACTCATATTTTCTTTTTTTACGAATGGTCTCAATTACGCTCGTCAACGAGTTTACGCAGGCCACGTAAGCTAGCAGATTTGCTGGTTTGTGGTAGCTTTGTCGTGTCGTAGGGCGACATCAGCTACCAGATTTAGCTGGTTTGTCTTGTCGTACAACAAAATCCGGCTTAAGGTCTCCCTGTGGATTAACTTAGATACAGAACGCCATGCTTGACCTGTTTATCTGAGAATTGTTAGTTCCATTGACTGGGTTATATCGCCAATTCTGTCTTCATTTTCCCAGTCGCTGCATAAAAGTAGGACGTTAAACCCAGCCCATTGCATTTCATTTCTATCGCCATTTGTTTGTATTTGTCATTTGGGAGTCATTATCCGTGCGAGTTCTTTCCTTTCCTCTTGGATGGGTATATAATTAGCACTGAATTA